GCTCTCCCTCCGAATCATCCCGACTTGGCTGCTTCCTACAACAACATCGGTATGGTGTATGATGAAATGGGCGAGTACTCTAAAGCACTTTCATCGTACGAACGATCACTTGAAATCAAGAAAATAGCTCTCCCTCCGAATCATCCTAACTTGGCTTCTTCCTACGGCAACATCGGTAATGTGTATAATAACATGGGCGAGTACTCGAAAGCACTTTCATCGTATGAACGATCACTTGAAATCAAGAAAATAGGTCTCCCTCCGAATCATCCCGACTTGGCTTACTCATACAACGGTATTGGTTTAGTGTACGATAAAATGCGAGACTATTCGAAAGCACTATCATACTTTGAGAAAGCACGTGGTATTTGGGAAAAGGCTCTCCCTTCAAATCATAGGTATATTTCACATGTAAAAGGAAACATTGACAATGTAAAAAAGAAAATGTAATTGTTTTTCTTTTCGTTTTTAAAGAGAAAATAAACTGGCCATCTTGAAATCTAAGCTCGCCGAAGCAAGCAGCTGCAGAATTTCGCGCACGCGCGACCAGAGATACCCTCCGTATTCTGCTGGCTCGTACAGTGGACAAAGCCGGCAATGGTTATAGGCAAACATACATCGATGTACGTATGAATAGTATGACCATGATCATCATCTTGGAAAAGACGATGACGAAATGGACGCTTCTATTCATACATACATTGATGTATGCTATGAAGGCCTACCATCTGCACGCCTGCACGGGTCACCAACAGAACGTCGGATATCCCTGGGAAGGTTCATTTGTTTTAGAGCCACCCTCAAAGTTCCATTAGTTAGAAATTATTTTTGTTCTTCTGTTACGAAGAACGAGACGAAGTAGAAACGGAAGAAAGAAAAGGTATGAAGACGGAAAGACGCGATAAAAGACGACGTTACGGAATGATAATACGCAGCGCATGATAACAACCGGTGTTTGTCAAGCAATGGAACATCGAGTGCACGATATCTTTGTCGTCTTTAAACATTTCATGTTCAATTCGTCTGTGTTTTCATCTCGTATGTGTAAAGATAACTTACATATCGTGCACTCGCCATTGCAGCAAACGAACGATGATTGAATGAAACGGCGGATAAAAACAATACATTCGCCGTTAATTTGAGTAATAACTCATACATTGCATCTACTAAAATAGAGATAAAGAATAGAAAAAAAGGAAAGTTTTAAATATAGTTTTTTTACACTTTATGATGATATGTGATGGTTATGTTAACATTGATGGTCAAAAGCAACATGAGTCTTTCGAAAGATACTTATCAGGTTGCTGTTTTTTAATGTGCATTAATATTAATATCCGATAAGAAAATAAAAAGAATAAATATTTTTCTTTATATATTCATGAAACAATTCTTAATAAAAACAAATTATATAGATTAATGAGTCTAATTAATCGTATATCTTTTCGAATAAATAAAATAATTGTAAATGCTTATTCAAACTTTAAAAAAAACTTTTATTAGATAAGGAAAATCTAATTAACAAATTTCATAGATATTTTATGTGAATAATTGAATTTCTATTTGAAAAAAAAATTTGCTCTTTAACGTCAACAAGTTATGATCAAAATATTTTTTTTATTGCAAATGATTAGTAATTTGATATTGTTGCTAGTTCTATTTAGGATTATGAAATCATTTTTTACATTTTATTTCGATTAACATTAAGATATTTTTGTTTGAAGATAAGAATTGAATATTACAAATATTATTTTGATTGATTTTAATTTTTAATAGTTATTTACTATATTCACAATATGATCTTAGTTTCAGTTCTAAAATATAAAAAACAATTAGGTATATAAGGTACGTATATAATAAAGACTTTTCTTTCATTTTAACTCAGTGATTAATAAAGATACTGTTCATTTAGGTAATTGAAAAAACTTACCTTTTTTCTCTAAATGTTATCTTTGAATGATATTAAGATCAATGTTGATCGACATGATACTTCAATTTTAATGTATTTTATTCGATAATTTTTTTATTTAGGTTTAACAACTTGACCAACACTTTGCTTGTGTTTTGATTGATTTTTATAAAATAAAACATTGAAAATCATCGTTTGTTTAGAAAATTTCAAGATTATGAATTAAGCATAATTTTATTCTTCATCACACTCACTCCTTGTAAAATTCATTCTTGATTTCTGATGATCATAATCAACGATATCGTTTAAGTTTTTGAGTTAGACTTAATGTCTAATTTCTGGCCAAGAAAAATGAGACATTTCTGTATTTTCAATAACTCGTCTGACACTTTGTACTGTAAGATGATTTCTAAAACAAATCGTTTTCGTAAAACATTTCAAAAAAAACGTAAAGATGTTCCACTTTGATGTAAGTTCAATTTTTGACATCTGCTTCAGTTTCACAGTTCTACTATCCGTTTCAAAAAAGAATGCGCGCTATTGCGAGTTGAATAACTCGAGAACGAAAACAGCTAGCGACTTGCGGTTTTCACCATTAGAAAGAGGGATACTGGGGCACGTAAATATATGGAAAAATTTGATTGGTCAGCAATTGACCAATAGGATAAGCGTTCGTTGAACATTTTGACGACAGCGTTCGGAACGCTTGTTTCATTTGATTTTGAACTTGAATTAAACGAGTCGATAGAAAAAATAGTTCTCTTTCGATCTACGCAAGGCCGAGCTCGACAGCTTGCTCCGCTCAGGAGCTATAAGCATTTTCCTGATACCCCAAAATCAGCCAGGTGAGGTTCAGTCACCCTTAAATGGATCACATTCTAGGTAATCGACAATGCTGAGTTCAGTAGTGATGTTTGTTTTTCGTTTCAAAGTAATCTGAGATCACTATATCGAGATTTTTGGAAATCTAACTTTTGCTGCTATGTGGCGCAGACAACATATATATGGAAAATCTCGATATAGTGATCTCAGATTACTTTGAAACGAAACACAAACATTACTACTGGATTCAGCATCGTCGATTACCTAGAATGTGACCCATTTAAGGGTGATTGAGGGTGTGGGTGTGGGTGTGGGTGGG